AATGTATGGATCATATTTGGATCCTGATTGAAACAAATCATATTTAAAAAATTTGAGATGATCAGAGAAATCTGAACACTAAATGGATAGTTGATGACATTAACAAACTATTGTTGTTTCTTTTAAAGGAGGAATAATAGCTTTGCGGTTATTTTTTTAAAAATTAGTCATGACCTTTTTCAGAGATATTGAAATATTTATAGCTGAAATTATGCGTTGTCTGGGATTTACTTCAAAATAATTCAGGAGTTGGGGGGTAAGTGGAGCTATTTATTGCAACAAGATTGATAATTGTTGTAATGACAAGAACTGATCATTGTTATAGTTACGTGATTATTACTTACAGATTCGTGATACTATTCCTTCTAATTTCTATATATCTGACAGCATCAGTTTGAAATAGTTTTAAAGAGGAAGGGAAAAATTGCTCTTAGGCTGAACCCAGGGTCAAAGCTAAGAATTGAGGCTCAGAACTATGGGAATGCCTGAAATACCTGCTTGGCTCACTTAAAAAGCCCAGGAGCTGGCACACAGTAGGCCTTTAGGAAGTGTTTCTTGAATGAGCAAACAAACATCTGGACATCAAAGTAGCACTACATATGCTCCTAATGCCTGAAATACATCCAACAACCCCAAATTTGGCAAGCCTTTGCGGAAGGTGGTGCTCCATACCATCACTTTCACCAGTGTCACCCTCAGTATGTAATTATATATTTAGTCTACTTTAAAGTAACAATAACGGGGCACCTGGCTGGCTCAGTCAGAAGAACATGTGACTCTGGATCTTGGGGTTCGAGAGATTAGTTAAATAAATAAAACTTTAAAAAATAACAATAACAGCCACTAACACACTGACTCAACACTTGCAATGTGCCCAATCCATGCTAAGTGCTTTATATGAATTATCTTGTTTAACCTTCATAACTGGCCCTTGAAGTAGGTGCCATTATTATTACCATTTTACAGATGATAAAACTCTGGACAGAGACGTTACGTGGCACAGAGCCATGAAGTAGTAAGCCCACATTTGTAACTTCTACGTTACACTGATCTCTTAACGTCTTCCCCCTGCCCACGCTGACCTCCACCACCAGATTATGAGGGTCAAGAGAACATCATTCAACAAAATATCTCAGCCCCTATCACAATGCCTGGCATTAAATAGGTGCTTCATAAGTATATGCTGGATGAATGAAAACATTCTAAGTAATACTGTATGATTTCTCTTTGTGTATCTCTGACCCACCTCATCTTCCCCACAATTTCCAGCACAAGACTCAGCCCCCAGGAGGTACTCTACATATCCAGAAACACTCAGAGTTAAAAAGTGCTTTTGTGACCACCCAACTCTGTCCCCTCAGTTAACCAAAGGATAGGACCTCTCCAGGTTTTTTCTCCTACCTCTGAGTATAGACAATCAAGCAAGATGGACAATGGAGAACATATGAGCTTTGGAGGTCCTAAAAGACTGAGTTCTAGCAGAAGAGGTCAGTAGCAGATGCCCTGCTGGAGTGAGATTCAGGGAGGAAGGCCCGGGGTGTGGTGGAGGGTATGCATTTGCCCTTCCTTGAAGAACACACCCTCTGCCCAGTGCCCTGTGCCTTCTGGGAACTGTCCAAGACCTGAAACATCTTTGGAAATCTTGTCACTTCAGGACATACTTACAGATCTCACTAGGGACCAACGGCTTCCATGGTCTCCCCTCCCCTCTTTCCTTTCCCCTGGAGATAGGGAAGCAAAAAAACACCCAGCAACAAAGGCCTCTGGTGTCATCTTCCAAGCAGCAAAGGACTTTCTGTAGAGGATAATGGGGTTTCTAGTCACTTCTTCTGCTTCTGGCTATCCCCAGCCCCTGAAAGTCTTGAGCATCTCCAGCATATAAGGTCCCAAGAATCCCAAACCTTATGTCAAGAAACTTCTAGGAAAATAGCACAGACAACCACAGGAGCTGTAACTGGGTGGAGGGGATAACATTCTAGTCTAGCATGATCACAAGGGGGTGCTATTGGGGCTGGGCCTTGAAGGGAGGGAATCACTGGGCTTCGTGGGGATGAGACGGATACAGAAGGAATGGCAGGTGCAATGTAGTGAAAGCAAGAACTAACATTTATCTAGCATATACTCTGTGTTCATTGCTGGGCTAAGTGTTTATACATAAAAGCTTGTTGATATTTCACCTTATGAAACAGGGGATGACAATATACCAGATGAAGAATCCAAGGGCCCAGAGGTGTTAAATAACTTGTCTAAGGTAATCCAGTAATTGGTAATCCAGAGCTGGGATTCAGACTGATTTTTCCAACCCCAGGGTCCACCATACTATGTGCACCAAGAATTGGGGCGGGGCAGGCGAGACGGTTTGTGTGAGGGAAAGGACTAAGTGTAGAAGAGCAAGGGAATCCTTAAATGTGACCCTAAAGGTCTAGATGGGGTGCCACAAGGCAGGCCATGTGCTGAGCCGTGTTGCAGGAGGAATGGCCTAACACATTTATGGAGGATAATGATGGAGGGGTTGCTGGGAAGATGGAACCTGGTGCCCCCAGAAGCTCTACAGGAGGAGGAAGGACAGGCAGCAGCATGAGTGAGGAAAACCTAGAGGAGAAACATTACCAAATGCCAGTTGGTAATCAATGGTGTTCACCTTCAGATTTAAGCAAAGAAAGATCTCCAGTCCCAGTCAGTCCACAAAACTTGTATTAAATGCCAACTGTGTGCCAGGCCCTGCCCTAGGCAGCCTCCCTCTGTTTCTCCTCCTTTTCCCAGTGAGGAAAACCAGGTTGCTGGCAGGCTCCTACAACTCGGCACCCTAAGGTGCTCTCCTCTTCTTCCCATCTCCACTCTCATAAAGCAGACAAACAGCTTTTCTCGGATGTTTATGTTAAACTCATAAAGTCCAGAATTCCTGCATTTTAACTTCAATAAGTTTTAAAATTTAAAAGGATTTATTTCCACTTTACTGGTCTAGCTTACAAGATAAACAATAACTTATTTTTAAAAACTAAATCCTCTTTTAACCTCAGTAAGTTTTTTAAGCACTGGAATATGCTTTAATTAATATTCTAAAAAAGAAAAACACTGGAAAAGTGAACCCCAATAAGTTTTTGATGAGAAAATTTTCTCCAGAGGGCAAATCGTCTCCCACTCCAGCTACCAACCATGGAACCAAAAGTACCTCTGCTCAAGGGTATCTCTTGAGGGTCAGAAATGGGAACTTACATCCCAACCACAATGCCCTTCGTGATCACCAGGGGAAGTGGGGACTCACTGACATCTCTAAATCAGTAAATCTGATGCAGCTGTGCCTCAGGGAGTCAATCTTAGTTTGGAGCTGAAGAAAGGGGAACTTAGCTTCTCATTCTTGTGCTTTAAAAAAAAAAAAAATCCTGTTCCAACAGACAACCTTCTCACTGAGGAGGTGGGATTTATTAGCCAAATACAACTTGGCCTTGGAGGCAACCTCTTGCTCTCCGAAATCACTGACTTCAGGAAACTCTGCTCAGCCAGTGGTTCGGCGATGGGAGCAAACTCTCACTAGGCTGGCTCAGCAATTCCCCAGGAAGGTTCACCCCGCCGGCCAAGACTAAGAGACAGCGATCCCAGATGCCTTGGTGTATGTTGGGCGGGAAGCCGGGGACTTTTCCGCTTAGGTTCTCTAAGCGGTGCCACGGGGCCGTTCTTTGACTACGTCAGGGTAAAGAGGTTTGTATGGGCATTTCTCGCACCACCGATTAACCACTCTCGAGAGACCGTCTTTTTCAAACTATACGACAAGCATAAGGGGGGAAGAGGCGGCCCCAGCAGACGCTAACCACTGCGGTTCTAAAAGCCTTGGTTGCGTCTGGGCCCGTGCGGAGCCGCATCTGGAGGGAGATTCCCTTCCGGGGCGCCCGCCATCAGCCCCTGGATTCCCAGCAAGGCCTCTCAGGCCCTTCGAGAACCCCCGCCTCCGGCTTCCCCGCCCAGATCTCGGAACCCTCAGGCCCGGGCCAGTCTCTTTGCCGGCCTTTCAAGGCCCAGCCGCCCGACCCCGCGGCTCACCCTCGAGCGTCTCGCACTGCACCAGATTGAGGTAGTCCGCCTGGCTGAGCACCCCGGCCTTCAGGCCGCGCACCAGTCCCTCCAAGTAGCCATTGTCCACGTTGAAGTAAAGCTCCGGGAAGAACGACATGGCTGCGGCGGGGGAGGCGAGATCGGAGAACGCCGATCGCCGGGTGGACAGCTCGTTCCAAGATCAGCTGACTCGGCGCCAGCAGCAGGCTGTCAAGCGGGTCAGGTGATGCGCGAGCGCCTCACGTGACCACAATGGGGCGGGGCTCTGAGTGGCGCCCGGCTTCCGGGTGGTTTCGTCCGAAAGCATTGCGCAGGTGTGGGCCCTCTGGCGCCTGCGCGACTAGGGTAGGCGTACCTCTCGCTACCAACTTGGAGTGTCTGAGGCCGGCCGCGTGGTGGCGCACGTGGCCGCGGGGATTCGATTGGGCCTTCTAGCTTTACAACTCCCTCTGGGTTAGCGGGCACCGAGACGCAGGCCGAGTAAAGATGGGAGTGAGCGGTGCTTCTTATGCTTGGAAATATTCCAGACTGTTGAGTCAGTCTTCCCCCGAAGGGAACTACGGTTCGAGGGGCAGGCTTCGCCGAGGTCACAGGTCGAGTTAGCTGCAAGCAGGCCCTGGAGCCTAAAGCTTGCTGGCCAGCCAGGAGTTACAGCCCCTGTGTGCACTGCGCGCTGCACCCGCATTTATTGTGCAAGATTCTGGAGGGCTGGAGCCCGGCCCTTCCGCCTCCCCACCGACGCCTAGCACCGTAAGAGCATGCATGTAAGTGATTCATTCAGATGATGGGTAGCCTAGACCCTTGGGAAGGGGTGTGTGTGATTTCTTGGCTTGGCCGCAACCCCAGCCCTACCGTGACTTCCATGACCTCCCGCCTCCGACGGCCACGTTCGAAATAACGCCACAGCCTTGGGGTTGGTCCCAGCCTTTATTCGCTACCCCGTGTACAGCCCCGACCCCGACGTCGGCCCACTAGGTACGGCTGCAGGGGTTCATGGCAGCACCCAGCTTGCGGCAGTAGCAGAAGGCGTTGAAGAAACGGCAGTAGCACGTGGCACATGGGTCGCAACATGGTACCTGGTGTCCCAGACAGGATTCATGCAGCCTTACGCAGCGACGCGGGGAGCGTGGCTCGCGGCCCTCCGGATCAAGTACCTACAGGAGTGAGGGAGCAGGACTGCAGGCATGGGCCTCTGAATGCAGGTCCAGGGATGTCACCTGCCTCAATGCAGGCAGGATGGCCACGGAGCATGGAGAGAGTAGTCTGCAGTATCACCCCAGGTGAGGGGGTCATGAGGTGGAGAGAGGGGCTTCTGCCTGATGTCCCTTCCCAAAGCCTGTGGTCGTCCCCCTTTTCCTGGGCAGTTACCTCTGCCAAGGCCTCAGCCTCCTGCAGCCGAGCTTCTTCTGACTGTTCTGCAGTTGTCCTTTTCAGCGAGGACTGTAGGCCCAGGCCTGGAACAGATGATGTGAGGGCAGAACCCCCTCCCTCCCCATGCATAAAACACCCACCTCCGAGGCCTGGGACTGGGAAGGGGGAAGGAGGGCTCATATCCCGCAGGATACTTTGTGGCCAGAGGGTATCCAGGTTCCATCCAGCTCCACCCCTGCCCATACTGACCTGGGAGCTCTGGGAACTGGGCCTGGTCAGGCCTTCTGATGCCTTCCATGGGGGCCAGGCCCATCTGGGCCCCCTGCATGGGGGGCAGTGCCAGCAGCAGGGCACAGCTGAGCAGCACTGCAGGAAGCATGACCTGGCCAGCAGTAAGACACACCACTTAGTCCTTCCTCATCCTTGATGCACCCTCTAGGTGCCCTACCCCAGACAGAGACCTCCCAGAGGTCAGGAGTCTCTGCCCAACCAGAGGACTTACCTCTGCTTGCTGGATCCTTGCCTGGAGAGTTTCTGGCCACTCCGGCGCCCTCAACTTATATGGCAGGGTCTAATGAATGCCCCACACGTGACTGCCGCCTGCAACCAGGACATAAGGGGCCCTCCCCAGAGGGTGGGGGCACAGCTCAGGCCTCTCTCCCTGAAACCTGTGCTTTTGGATGCTCTATAAGAGGTGTGCCCATCTCCAATTTGGGGGTGAGGTCCCCAGGTGCCAAAGTTGGGGAACAAGACAGGGTACCCAGAACCCCCAAATTTCTACAGGACAGGGACCTGGGTAGGGGTGGGGAGGTTGGACAGGCAGGAACCATTAGCAGTAACAAGGCAGGCAGCCCTGAGATCTTAATTTAATTTGTGGCCCCAGAGATGCTCACTCAGACCCTGTGTGGCATGTTGTTTCCTTTGCTTCCAGGAACTTTGGTCAAGGGCATTGAAGAGGGTGATGGGCCAGTGGCCAGAGTGGGGTGCAGACTTAGACCCTGGGGTTTTTTTTGAAGGGAAAAGGGAGGGGAGAAGCCCACTTAGCCAAAACCAAGCCCTCCTGCCTCCATCCCTAGTCCTTCCTCCCCTCCCCTTTGTCCCTCCAGGCTTCTCCAAGACCCCCACCCCTGCTCTTTCTCCCAAACCCTTTTCCGCCCGGGGTTCCTGGAAGCCAAGGAGGCAGAACGGACTGTTCCCTGGGTGGGCGAGCAGCTTCAAAGTAAAAAGCTTTCAGGCTGCCTGTCTCATTAGTGCTAATGGCTGTTGCCTTCCGCCCTGTGTTGTCAGGCCTGTGCCCACGCCTGGTCTCATCAGCACGAGGCCAGGGTGAAGACTGCCCTTTTGTGAAGGTGGGAGGACACACAGGACCCCACCTGCCCCTGCCTTCCCTCTCCCCTCTGGAGGACTCTTTAACACACCCTTGCCCGTCAGGGAAAGGGGTACAGGCTGAATTACCTTCAAGACCTCAGTGTACAAATTGAGCTGCCTGAGACAGTAGGAAGATGAGGCTGTTGGGGTTTGCAGTCCAGGTTCACACAGGCTATTCTGCCCAGGACGAGGAATTCCTCCCAGCAGCGGGTGGAAACCATTTGTTGTCATCTGACAGCCTTTGGCCTTCAGCACCAACAGTCAGTCTCGGGGTTCAGTTGCATGGGGAGGGGCCACTCTGCAGATTGTGGGGCTGTGGCAACTCCATTCACAGACGGGCACTGATGTCTGTTCTGATATCAGGCTAGCACTGGCCTCACTTGTGGTTGGCCCAGGAGCTCGGAGGGTCACATACTATTGCCCAGAGGGAGGAGGCTGGGGAGTGAGGGAAAGCCTCTCTAAGGAGGTGGTCCCAGGATAATCCAGCAAAGGGCCATCCCCGTTTCTCCCCTGACAATGCTACTAGCTATTTTGGTGACAAATAGCCACAAAGTGGACCTGGTGTCAAAGCCTCCCTGGCAACTGACATTGACCTTTCTTCCCCAGAGGCTAGAGCTGGGCCCCGTCGTCTACCCCAGGGCTTTCTCATCTCAGGGTGGTGCAGGGTGAAGGTATCAAGCAGTAGATATGCTTCCATCTTGGTGGGGCCAGTGGGGGTTCAAGAAGGGCAATGCATCAAATGTACCCGAGGCACTTTCCCCAAATCCCTGGCCCCTGGCCCCATCCTTGGAGATTCTGGCTGAGGAGATGGAGGTGGGGAGCAGAGACTGCAGGTGGATTTTGGAAAGGTGCCCCAGGTGAGTTGAGGTGGAGGCTGTGAGCACTTGGCTGGGCCTGATCGGCATCCATGCTAAGAACAGTTCATGTTTGGAGGTGGTGGGAGTGCTCATCCCATCCAGGCGCTCAGTGTCTGCTCATCTACAGAGCAATGACTGTCTTCCCCTGTGTGTGTGCGGGGGATGACATGGGCAGTGATGGACAAGGGCTGAAACACTCCCAGGGGCAGCCCCGGTCCCTAGTCAGGTCCGGTGGGCAAGACAGTCGAAAACACCAACCATCAAAACACAGTAGGATGATGAGAGAAATATAAATGTTGGCTATTTGATGACATTAAGGAATAATTGTTAATTTTTTAAGTTGTGATAATGGTTTTGTGGTTT